GAGTTATGATTATTCAATCTGTTTACTCTTTATTGGAGAGGTTCCGAAGCACTTGGCCAATATTGGCCAAATTGTATCTGACCTAAGACTGATATTTAGGGTGGGATAAAAAAACTGCAAAAAAGTCAAACGCCATAATTATACCCTACACCACAAGGTGGTCAGGGTATTATGTCTGTGCATTTGTTTGTAACAGGCAAAGGAAACGAGATATACCCAAAGTTCCTTTTGATGGTCTGCATAGAATCACATTCTGAGTCGATTTAAGCATGTCCGTCCGTCTGTCCATGTATTTTTGTGAACAAAGTACAGTTCGCATTTATTACCGGAACCAGATGAAATTTTGCACAAATCATTTGTTTGGCCCAAGGACGAACCCTATTGAAATTGGAGATAATCGGTCAAAATTTAGATATAGCTCCCATATATATCTTCGTCCGATTTGCTTTTTATTGTGCACCAAACATGTAATATCAGCCCGAATAGTATGGAATTTTGCACATACAACCAAATTAGGCCTAAAAAAAAGTATGCCAAATTTGATCGAAATCGGTTCAGATATAGCTATAGCTCCAATATATATTGTTCATCCGATTTGTTATTTTAGTCCCTAGCAGCCGTAATATGCACTCCGTGACAACAATATTTGGGGAAATATATGAAATACAGCTCAGAAATACCTTTCCCAAATTTTATCGAGATCGGTTCGGATTTGGATATAGCTCCCATATATAACTTCGTCCGATTTACCTTTTATTGTGCACTTTACCTTTACCTTTTATTAGCACTTACGACCGAATTGGGTCTAGAAGCTAGTATGTCAAATTTGGTGAAGATCGGTTCAGATATAGCTATAGCTCCCATATATATTGTTCATCGGATTTGTTATATTTGTTACCCACAGCCGTAATATGTACAGCGATATTCAGGGAAATATATGAAATACAGCTCAGAAATACCTTTGCTAAATTTTATCGAGATGGTTCGGATTTGAATATAGCTCCCATATATATCAGATGGGCAATACAAGTCCGAATTTAAAAGATACAAATGCTTCGGCATATTTAGTCATTTGAACTTTAAATTATAATTATAATCATACCGCGTTTGATTGCATTCTCCCATAAAAACTTTTAATTGTTATGTGGAGCTCTACTAAATTAGCAAAGTGGTGTAGAGTATCATAAAGTCGGCCCCGCCCGATTTTAAGACTTTCTTTACTGTTTTTTTATTTTTTTTTTTTAACTTTTATTGAATGAAAGCAAAAAATGTCGGAAATAGTATCAAATTTTAGAAAAAGTTTAGATTTGTTCGAATTGGTCACCTTTGGCACGAATTGTGGCCTTCAAACGGCCAATGAAATCGTCACACGCTGCCACAGACACAATTGTGGAATGGATTTGTATTCGGTGGTTTTGGTGGCCATTGTGTATTGGAAATGAAGCGAGTACCTCATTTTCTAACCATTCCTGAGTGGCTCGAGCTGAGTGCGATAGTGCTGAGTCCTGTTGGAATGTCCAAGGTCTGCGGACAAAATGTTTGCGGGCCCAAAGCTTTAATACACCCTCCAGAATATTTTCGCATTTATTATGATGCCATGGTAGATTAATACGAGCGGAGAGCGACCATCGGCAGTTATGGCGGCCCACACCATCACCATGGCCGGCGCTTTAGTTCTGGTGGCCAACCGAAGGTGCACATTTTCAGCTGACCTCTTTGGCAAGTAAACGCGATAATTTTGTTTGTTGACAAACTGCTTGAAAACGAATGTTTTCTCATCGGAGAAAACCAAATTCGCCAGTTCACCACACCGAAGCAACTCTTTAGGTATTTTGAGTCTATTTTCTTTCTGTTGCCGTGTAAGTTCTTCCATTTTGGGGATTTGGGATTTCAATGGCTTTACCCCGAGCTCATTTTCAATATTTGCCGAATGGAATATTGCGATATGTTCAGCTTACGGGCAATTTTTCGACCTCTGCGACGCGGGTTTCGATCAAGTCGCTTCTTTACTTTTCAAACCATTTCTGCTGATGTTGCTGTTTTCTTCCGTCCACTTCCTGGACGTCGGGCTACGCTACCAGTATTAAGAGACACAAAAGATTTATTCACATTTAAATGCAGGAGTGCTCTAACGTTAGCCACTTGTGGTTTTCCAGTCAAATATAAAGAAAACACACTATCACGCTTGAATTCCATCACGACTAACTTTTTTTCTGGGAAATCCTCACCAAAATGCTTTTGTACGTTTGTAAACAATATAATGAGCTGTCACTGGAATAATTTTGGACGAGTCCTTTGAAATAACAGCAGTCTGAAGTTAGTTGCAGTTTTTTCATCTCACCCTATATATGTTCTCCCAAATGGTGGAGGGTATTAAAAGTTCGGCCCGGCCGAACCTATCTAGGTTCATATTTTGGTGTAGCCGCCACTTACTGGTTTTCCGAATTTTGAAGGAAAAATGAAATATTAGTTCACTTTTTGGCATAGCCTCCGTCGGAAGTTACTCATTTACCCAAAAAAATAATTGTGGGTAGATTAACTCCTCTCAGAAATATTCAATTTAGGCCCAGTTTTTGAAAAGTTTCCATCGGTACCCCAACAGATATATTCCCTCAGCATTTGAGTGAGTCAATTTTGTCCATTTTCGATTCATATACTACCTAATTCAACGTAGAATCAAGTCCGCCGTATTCAGTGAATATCAGTACATATATAAGGCTTAGTAAAATTATTTCAATGTACCAAGATTGGATCATATCGGATACACACTATCGTGCGCACACGAAGACGGACAAATGGAGGGACTTGGCCAAATGTCGTGAAACAGATTTTTTCCAAAGAAGTGTAAAACCATTATTTTGATGAGGCACATTTTGTCAATATTTAATAATATCTTCTGTAGGTTATAAAAATATGTATTTTTTAAATGATCCAATGAAGGATCTGATTGAAATTGTGATAACTGGTTAATATTTGGATATAACTTCCATATATATCTTTACCCGATTTTAAGTATATTTTGATTTTGTTACCGAATTACGACCGAATTCCGCCTAGAAACAAAAATGTAAAATTTTGTGAAAATCGGCACATATTTCGCTATAGCTTTCATATAAGTATATTTCATGCGATTTCAAGTCCACTTATCCCATAATATGCTCCATCAAAATATTCTCGATAAAAGACATTAAGTGAAGTCTAGAAAAGCCTCTACCAATTTTTTAGCGAAATGGGTCCAGATTTAGTTATATTTTCGTCACACTATAAAACTTGGGTCAATTCAGATATAGCTATAGCTCCAATATGTATACTTCACCTGATTTTATTTATTTATATTTGCTACGAGAAGTTTCGAGCAGCAGAACGTACGCTGGGTGGGCCTCCCTCCGAAATGGCGACTTTTTGCCATTTTTATACCCTTCACCATACTATGGAGGGTATATTAACTTTGTCATTCCGTTCGTAAATCCTCGAAATACTTATGTCAAACCCAATAAAGTATATATATTCCTGATCAGCGTAAAATTCTAAGTCGATTTAGCCATGTCCGTCTGTCTGTCTATCCGTCTGCTCTAATCACGCTATCTTTCGAACAAATTGAGATAGAAGGCTAAAATTTTGCACACATGTTTATTTTTCCAGTAGGCAGGTTAAGTTTGTAAATGGGCCATGTAGGTCCACGTTTTCATATAGCCTCCATATAACGGTACCTCCCGATATTCGGTATGTTAATGATTTTAGGGACATTATGCACCGGAATTGTTTAAGATTTGGTATTTGAAGTTCGTAATGGATACTACAGCCTAAGACAGAAAATTGTCTGCCCATGTGGGTCCACGTCGTATAGACACCAATATAACGCCTATATTCGGTATTTTTAAAATTTTAACAGAATTTTTTAAGGATTTTATTTCCAAATTCGTTGTAAGTGGTGCAGGGTATTCAAAGTTCGGTCCGGCCGAACTTACTACTTTTTAACTTGTTTACATTCTGCATGGAAAAGTTATTAATATTGGTGTATGGTATCATATAGTCGATCTCGCCTGGCCTTTGTCCTCTACTTACTGGTTTCGTTTTTGAAAACCCCCAAAAATTCCCCCCTCAAACCACAACCTCCCAACAAACTTTAACAAGCATCTTCTAATATTCAATCATTTGACATGAAATCCAATGAGACATCAAACAATAAATCATTTAGAAGCTGATCCATCATAGCTTCATCGTCAAGCTAACTAGCTATTCTAACATCTGACAACCATAAGAACATTGGAACAGCAACCAAAAACAACAACAAGAACATTTTGTTATTACAACCATAAAAGTCATGGCTAAGCATCGACGATCTATATGACCAACTAACTCATCATCAAGTCTCTCGCTGCGAACAATAGACCACAAAAACCAAACTCTAGAATTCAATAACACGGCCAATAACAAAAACCAACACTCATACATACATGACTACAAGAAGCATTGTTTTAAGTTAAAAAAAAAATCTTACAAAAACAACAACAAAAATATACATAAATCGTAAATTACATGATGATCTTCTGAATTGTTCCATTGTCTAGTCAAACAGTTAATTAGACAAACAGTAGCCAATGGCTTCTGTCGGGGATGACCTTTTATTCAATTTGAGATAAGAAATGAGATGAGCTTTTGAAAATTTAAACTCAAACTCAAAATGAGATCATATGCAAGACTTCAGGTTTTATAATTTTTTTTTAATTATAAAAAAATAATAATTTCAAATTTATATTTTTTGTAATTGTTTTAATTATAACAAACATTTTATTGAAATTATTCAACCTTTTTAATTTTATAAAAATTTTAAATTTTAATCAATTTTTCATTTTTATTAAATTTTAAATTTTTATAGATTTTTTTTTTATTTTATTAAGTTTATTAAATTTTATCAGTTTTTTAAATTTTTAATTTTTATAGACTTTTGTTAAATTTTATCGTTTTTTTCTAAATTTTTCATCATTTTTTCTTTTCAGCTGCCCAATCACAAAGCAAACGCTCATCCCGCATTACCAGCTCTCGCACCAGCTTTGGCACCAATGTCAAAAGTTCCTCATCATCCTCGTCCTCCTCATCGTCCAATTCGAATGGCGTCAATTTCGATTGTCCCGAAGAATTCGGCTATTATCCCCATCCGACGGACTGTACCCAGTACTATGTCTGTGTATTTGGTGGAGCCCTCTTGGAAAGTTGTACCGGCGGTTTGATGTATTCGCATGAGTTGCAAACATGTGATTGGCCACGTAATGTGGGATGTGAAGTTGTCGATAGCGGTGATCGTGATGTTGTTATTAGCAAACAACAACAGCAACAAGTGCAACAACAACAACAGCCACAACATTTGCCTAGCCGCATACGTTTCGGTTCATCCTTTACCAGTCCCCAGGCTCAACAGCAACCTCAGTTGCAGCAACAGCAACAACAACAGCAGCAACAGGTTTTGAAGCCCACCGTTCCACCGCAATATCATCGCCAGCCACCCCAGGTGATTCAGGCTCAAGTTCAGACCATACCACCACCACCGCAATTGAAGGTATCACCCAATCCTGTCATCACATCCCGCGGCCAGCCGAAACATTTGTTGGAGGCCCAAGAGGAAATCGCTAAGGTGAGTTTTATTAGATATTATGTCTATAGAACTTAGAGGATATTCTTTACTGAAATATTCTATCCACATTTTTTTTTTTTTTTTTTTTTTTTGAAAACTTTACCAAAATTATGGGGATTTATTTATTTTATAAGGATATTAAACAATGTTCAGAATCCACCTGCAACTCATTATAATTTGTAATTTTTTTTATCAGAGTTAAAAAAATAAGACACGTGTACCGGTGTTTTGAAAGTTTACATCGCAAATTATCCTAAATAGAGGTGGCAAGTTCCCCTCTCTTCCACACTTTTGGAAATTTTTGGATTATGATTTCTCGAAATCTGTGCATTTTACAAATATTGCAGATAAAAATACGAAGATTATTTTTGTAGAAAATGTTTAACCACGAGCGAGTACACAAAGAAGTCTTTCTAGCCATAATGGTTTTAGATCCCAGGACCAAATCCATTTTAGGACATTTGGAGTCGATCTGGCGATGTCCGCCGGACATACGGTTGTCTGGTGCGTACGAGAGCTCTCGATTTTATCAAAACTTGGTATATCTTAATATTAGTTCAAACTTAATATCGGTCCACTCCTTCGGGTATCTCCCCCACAAAATGTCAAGATTTTCAATGAAAATAATTTACTGCACAGAAAGAGACAGGATGATCCGATTTTGCACTAACATGGCAAATCCTAATATTTGCATCATTGCTAGGTCAGGTGCGAAAATGGGCAATATCGCTCCACTCCATCAAGTACCTCCCACATAAAAGGTCTAAATTTTGAATAATTATAACTCTTATAAAATGTGATGTAAGAGTGCGATTGTCTTTACACACATCTCAATATTTTTATTAACCCAAGTTCTGGTGTGAAGATGGAATATTGATCCACTCATCCCCCACAGAGGGTCTAAATTTTAAATATCCATGAAGCATGAATAAAACGCAAAATTAACATCCGATTCCATTCCGACTTGGTACATCTCAAAATTTCTATCAACACAAAATCTGTATTAAGATGGTAGGGATCGGATCATTCCTTATGGTACCTCCCCCATAAAGAGTTGACATTTAAAATAACCAAAACGATTATAAAATCGGAAATAAGATCCGATCATATTTCACACATAGCATTATTTGGACTAACACAAGATCTGCTGTATATATGTACGTATATATATATATATATATATATATAGTGTGAGATGAAAAAAACTGCAACCAAATTCAGACTGCTGTCATTTCTAAGCCACTCATCCGAGAGCTGCTAAAATTATTCCTGTATCAGCTCATTATATTGTTAACAAGCGTACAAAGGCATTTTGATGAAAATTTTCCAACAAAAAAGTTATTCATGATGGAATTCAAGCGTGATAGCATGATTCTGGAAAACCACAAGTGGCTATCTTTAGAGCACTCCAGCATTTAAATGTGAATAAGTCTTTTGTGTCTCGTAACATCGCTTGTTACCGTGATATTGGTAGCGTAGCCCGACGTCAAGGAAGTGGACGGAAGAAAACAGCAACATCAGCAGAAATGGTTCGAAAAGTAAAGAAGGGACTTGACCAAAACCCGCGTCGCCGTGGCCGAAAAATGGCTCGTGAGCTGAACCGCTCGTATTAATCGACCGTAGCATCAGAATAAATGCCGAATATTATCGCGAAAATATTCTGGAGGGTGTATTAAAGCCTTGGACACGCAAACATTTTGGCCGCAGATCTTGGATATTCCAATAGGACTCAGCACTATCGCACTCAGCACGGGCCACCCAAGAATGGTTACAAAATGAGGTTCCTCGCTTCATTTCCAGCACACAATGGCCACCAAAATCTCCGGATACCAATCCGTTGGACCATTGTGGCTGGAGTATTTTGGAAAGCAAGCACTAAAAAATACCAAAGTGTCGATCACCTCAAACAAGCGCCTCGCCGGGAATGGGCCAAAATACCGCAGAGCAACTTTCATTGGCTGTTTAAAGACCATTATTCGTGCCAAAGGTGACCAATTCGAAAAAAACCTAAACTTATTCTAAAATTTGATGCTATTTCCAACATTTTTTGCTTTCATTTAATAAAATTAAAAAAAAAAATTAAAAAGTATGGCGTTTTGCTTTGTTGCAGTTTTTTATATCACCCTGTATATATGGGAGCTATATCTAAATCGGAACCGATCTTGATAAAATTTGGCAGGCGCATTTCTGGTCTGTATCTGATACCAAATTGTCGAATGCATATTACGAATGTAAGGAACTTAAACACATAATCGGATGAAACATATATACGGGAGCTCTAGCTATATCTGAACCAAATTTGGCGAACTTATATGCAGTTCATTTTGATGTATATTGGCCATTTGGTGCACAATAAACCTGACATCGAATTAAGGATATATATGGGTGTTATATCCAAATCTTAGCCGATCTCGGTAAAATTTAGCAAATGTATTTCCAAGCTCTATAAGATATCAGGTACACAATATCAGTATTGTCGAATGCATATTACGAATGTGAGGGACTGAAATGCCAAATCGGATGAAACATATATATGGGAGCTATAGCTACATATATCTGAATCGATTTTCACGAAATTTGATTTACTCGCTTTTAGATTGAATTCGGTTAGATGTGCCAAAATGCTTGTCATTTGGACTGATATTGGCAATTTGGTGCACAATTAACCAGCAATCGGTTGAAGTTATATATGCGAGCTATACTAAATCTGATCCGATTATCACCAATTTCTAAAGGCTTTTTCTTGGGCCAAACAAATATTGTTTGGAAAATTTCATTTCAATCGGATAATAAATGCGGCCTGCATTTTGTTCACAAGAATACATGGACAGACGGACGAACGGACAGCCGGACTGACATGCATAAATCGACTCAGAAAGTGTTTCTATGACGATCCTCAAAAGTAATTTTGGGTCTATCTCTCTTCCTTCTCCCTGTTACAAACAAATGCAGGAATGCATAATACCCTTACCACTCTGTGGTGCAGGGTATAAAAATTTGAAAAGTCAAATACCACCAAAGACATAAAAGTATAAAGATGGGACAAGGCAGAGTCAAGATATGGCAACCCTGTGAAAATACCTCTGTTGTTATGATATCGTAACAACATAGTTAGCAATTTTAAGCGATTTAAACGCTTAGGCAATATGCAATTAATTGGGAAAATCTATGAAATATAATTTTGAAACCCAATTTTTGGATTTTTAAACTTTTGTTTGTCATTTTTTCTAAAAATGTGTTTTTTATGTTAACACACTGTCATGAGCTGTTATCTAGATAGTATAGACACAAACCATTTGCTCAGAATGCATTTTGTCTAGTCTTTGCATTTTAGGTCTTCGATACCACCGTCGAATGTCTAGAAAATCCAGGGCGTGTCAATGAAAATTAGTGTAAAACCTCATATCTTTTTTATTGTCTTATTTTTAAATTTAGGCTTTGAACTAGAATAAGTTTATCAAAACAGGCGCATGTTTCAAAAAATTTCGCATGGTTTCAGTTTTTGTGGACAATGTGTATTTGGATTTAGATTTTTATTCTGCATTAAATTTTGGTATTTTATGTAATCAGTCAATTTTTGTGGTTGTATCTTTTTTTAGTCTTTTCTCTCTTTTTCTTGAATCCTTATCCATATCCGGTGTTCTACGAATATGCTTGTCCTATATAAATTTTATCCACATTTTTTGAAAGCTTTATTCCCAGTTTGTGCATTTTTGAAATTACTTATAAATTTTTCGATTTTGATTACAGCTCTATGCCGATGCCCATGACAGTTTGCCTCCGGTCGAAGAAGAAGAAAGCGATCGCCAACAACGTGTCTACCGTGGCCAACCCAGTACCGTTAGCCAGGTGCAAAAAGATCGTGATGGTATCCTACATCAGGCTAGCATTAATGCCATACCCAGCAATGACAAGTATAGTTCTTATAATTTTGGCTCACAATACAGGTAAGATTTGAAAAACGACAGAAAATCAAGATTTAAGGCATGTCCATTACGAATCAGACACATTTAAGGATCTCTAGCGATTTTTTAATTTCATTCACTATCATTATTTTTCACATGGCTTTATCGTTTCGTCTCGGCAAAGCAAAACAAACAAAAAACCAATAGCAATAATAATTCTCGTATTCTCTGCTTTTATTTGTTTTTAATTATCTACTCTTATTTACTCATTTAATGCTCTTTTCTTCTATTTTTACTATTTTACTTACTCTCTGGTATTACTCTTCATACACACACACATTCGAAACGCAAAATCATTTTTTTACTTCTCAAAAAAAATCAAAACTCATAAAATTTTCAAAAATCGAAAAAAATGCATTTGCAACTGCACCATCGCCACCGTCACCGTCACCATCGCAACCACTACCATTGACCGGACTGTATGGGACTGAACCGGACTTGACGTATGATTCAAACATGTGTGTTATGTTTTCTATGACTTACCTACCAAAAAACAAAACAAAAAACAATATGCGAAATCTAGAACATACAACATGGACCTTGACTTGTTGGCTAACAATGGACTAGAGGAGGAAGACAGTAACAAAAACGACAACAACAATGACTTATACATTGTAGACGCCAAAGATCTTGACCTCAATGACCATCGCCGTATGAAACGTGATTTAGATGGACAGAAATTGGCCGAAACAAATGAAGAGCAGGTCGTTGGGGAGGAAGAGATAAAATTGAAGGCTTCCCCCTCCACTGAGGAAACAATGCAGGAAATCTCAATTTTGGTGGAAGAGCTGTATGGTCCGGATTTTAAGACCACTTCTCCTGAGGATCTCATGGATTTAATGAAAAATAAAATAAGCAAGGATATGGAAGAGACTCAGAAATTACTGAGTACAGCGGAGGCTCTAGGCTCGCCAAGGAAAAATGAAAATCAGGTGGAAAATCCAGACAATGAAAATGGGGAAATTAAGAGAATTTCGTTGGCCCAAAATCCCAAAATTGCGGAAGAAGAACCTGAAATTTCTTCAGACCTGGAAAATAAATCCCAAAATGCCATTTCCAAGGAAGCTGAAGCCCCGGAGTCACCTGCCCTGGGAAAACAACAGGACTCTCTCCCTAACTCTAATGAAAATAAAGATGCAGCCGAAACTAAAATCGCTGAAATTCAACCCCTTATCACCGATATGCCCCCACTCAACCCCGAGAATATACCCACCGAAATTGTGACCCGTTCCCCCGATGAAGCTATGGTGGACATGGAATATGTGGATACCAATGATAATGCCGTGGCTGAGTCGAATGTAAGAACCATACGCCAACTAAGGCCCTATAGTCCAACCCAAAACATCAGACCCCGGGTTCAGTGGTCATCAACGGGTCAGGGTCACAATTATCGTTCCATTGACTCAAATCCCTATCAGCAATCGCAACAGTATCAACAATATCATCAAAGTTCCTCCCAATCGGTGCCCTACTCATTTGGAGCCTTTAATCCCTATCTATCACCACCCTCCACTCCGGCCTATGCTCCCTTGAATTCCGTGAATTCGAACTATAAAACCCAAAATTATCAAACTGGAACCATCAAACAAAAACCCAAGGTGGTTTATACGGGTTACAATTTATCTCTGCCACCACCACCCAAGGATACAGGCAGTGATTTTAGGCCAATGGTGGGGAATTATTACTCCAGTACCGGAAGCTCTTCCTTGGCTTCCAGTACCACTGGGCGCCCAGGGCAATATGTCAATCAACCCGATTTACTGCCCTATATCCTACAATCCCTCAAGGAGTTGAAGGAACAAAGAAAGAAATTGCAGGGCGTAAATTTCAGTTACTTCCACTTGGACAATCAACCGCTGAGAGAGGGGACAACTGCTGATCCATTGCAGAACTACAAAACCTCACCCGGCAAGGTGACACCCAACTCACATTTCTCGCAAATCAGCACAGTGGGAGGATTTTACAACAACAAACATTTGTCGGGAAGTTATCCCAGCAAATATCCCTCCTCAAGCTATCAGGAGCCGGAGGAGCAGAGCTATGACCTACCCAGTTCCACAGAGAGTAACTATTTCCAATACAATCTAATTGCCAATCAAAAAATGAAAAATTTCTATAGCACCTTGAATCCCGGCAGCTCCCCTTCCCCAGCCTCTGTGACCTCGAATATCAATATTGTAACGCCACCAAAATTGGGCAAATTTCCAGGATTTGAACAATTTGCAAATGGCATAACCTATGCCAATAGCTCCACCCAACCCGAATCCTATCAAAGTTTTCTCCATGCCCTGAGTAGCACCACCGAATTGCCCAGCAGACTACGACCCACACCTGGCTCTGGCAAACCCATAAAACTGCAATTTGATCTCCCTGAATTCATTTCTAATCTACAAAGTCAGGATATGTCCCATTTAAACCCAGCCGTAGTGGATATGTTGGAATATGTCAAAGAAGTGCACAAAGAAAGGCCCATCTCGGTCACACCACCCACCCTCAACATAAATGAGGTAACCCATAAACCAGTCACTGTGGGAGTGCCCATTGTTGCCACCACCCGACGGCCCACAAAGGGTTATGAAAGCTACCTGAATAGTCTGAAAACCACCACAAAACCCAGACCTCCACCACCATCAGCTGCCGAATACTATGATGAGGAATACGAAGAGGAGGAGGAAGACGAAGAAGTTTTGCCACCCTCACAAATGCCTCCCTATATGCCCATGACCGAGACCATGGCTCCGCCCAGGCAAGAAATGATGCCGCCACCCCTGAAACCCACCGAAAATCCCAATAAAAATTATCACAACTACGATACAGGATTTGTGCAGGTGACCACCACTCGGCGGCCTTTCTGGGTGGCCCATCAGCAGTTCCAACAATTCTATCAGCCACAAAGTGGTCAGGATCAGCAGTCTCAGCCACCCAATCAAATTCCTTCGTTTATAAACTTCCCCAGTGATTATTTCCAAGAAATTAAACAGAAATTACCCGCCAGACCTCAGACCAGTAGTTCGACCAGTACGACAACATCGACGACGACAACAACTACCACCACGACCACCACAGCTAGACCAATGACCTCAACAACAACAACTAGTATACCAAAAATGCGTTATACCATCCGACCAAATCGCAATCGGGGACAGAACAAATGGAAAACTCAAAATCAGAACAACAACAACACAATTAGTAATAGCAACAACAACAGTAACACACCTAGTGGTACAAAATTCATGACCATTGACTTGAAGGATAAACCCCTAATAGGCCTTAGAAAACGCCCCCAACAATTGGCATCGTCTTCTAGCGGAAACGGCAACAATAACCTAATAATGCCCATGCTGGACTTGAACGGACCCAACAGGTATAGTGTGTAAGTTGATTCGAAGAAAATCAACCCAAAAACTTTTTTCCTGCAATCCATTTTTTGTTTTTGTTTAATACGTTTTTGTTGTTCAGAATGAAAACCCTCCTTCTTAAAACTTGAAAACTAAACACAAAACCAAAGATACATAAAAAATAAAAACTCCAAAGAAAATAATCTTTAATCTGCTAATTTTGTACAAAAGAAAAACAAATCTGACCTTCATAAATAATCCTTCGTCCCTTCGTTCCCTGCCCCCTCTAAAAGGAAAACAAAATGACACTTTACTGTAAATACGTTGGGGTTGTTATCCTTTTTTTTTTTTTTGTTTGCTGTGAATACCCTAGTGGGACTACAAAAAAAAAACACAATGAAAATATAATTGTACAGATATTTCGCAAGAAATTTGAATATAACGGTGACTAAATGAAAACCGGGACGCCCAAACTGCTACTCCCTTCGACAAACTTAAACAAAAAAAAAACAGAGTTGCTAAATGGAATATTTTCAGAAAACTATTAAAAAATTTAAATCTATATTATTTTTTTTTTTTTATTGATTTTAAGAAATTTGAGAAATGTAAAATATTTAACTAATAAACGTTTACAAAGAATAATTGTTCAAAAAATCTCAAACAAAATAAAAAAATTGCATTATTCAAAAAATACAGCATATTTTTAGGCGTTATCGTATTTAAAATTACTTTGCAATAATATATTTACAAAAATACTCGATATTGAGTAGCTCCCAACCAATAGGAAAAGTATTCAATATCGTTTCAAATACATATGTATTTATGTATGTATGTAAAATTCCCCATATGTTATCATTAATTTGAATCTTGCATTCATATTTATATTTTAGAACTTCACTCAATCAAGGTTACTATTGGAATATTCTTCACTCCCATGACAATAGTATTCAATTCTATTTGGAAAACTTTACACACTCGACATTTGTCTTCCTTAAACTTCTGGCATATTTTGCTAGTAAGTTTTCCCGTTCGTAACCTCTAATCCCTTTTTGATCTGTTTCCCATATGCAGCGTACTGATCCTTGTTGAGAATAGTTTTTGATCGCCGTTATGCAGTTCTTGACTTGACTTTATTGGCTGTTTCTGCCCAGATTTAACTTCCGTTAGGATATTTACGATAGTTTGTCCCGTATTAGCATTAAACTAGTTCAGAGCATGTGTTATTGCTTGATTTTCCGCCTATAGAGCCTGGTTAGTTTGGTTCGGTAGGCGGAGAGAGATTTCGGTCTCAAAGTCTTCTATAAGGAGGCCAAGTCTTGTTCTTACCTAACTTTTTCTCCGCCTAACATTCTTAAAAATGAGACGCAGTTCGGAACATAAGTTTAAATCGTCACCAATTGTCTTAAAAAAAAATCGTGTTTAGCACAAAAGGAGACTCTCTTGTTTACTACATTTTTCTGGAAAAAATTGATCAAATAAAAAGTAAAAACATGATTTCCAACTTCAGATGGATGAAATATTCAGTTTTGAAATATTACCATCTAGTTTTCATATTTGTATTAGTTTCTCTTACTCATACTTTCTGGGAAAATTTGTTTTTACCAAGTGAATTTCATATTTCGGTCTATTACTCATTTTACCATTAAACCAGAAGAGAAATAAATCTGTTTACAAAATAACATTCAGTCTTCATACAAGATACATGTTGCCAAGCATGTGGCAAATATAAACACTCCAATGGGTAACGCCACCTATTTCCCAAAAATATACTTATACATATCCCCTAGCGAATGTCACCACCACTTTTTGCGACGATAGCCGATGATGCAAGTTTACACATCATAATATGGAAAGTATGGAAGAAACCCCATATATCACACTACTCCACATTTTCACTTTTAATTAATTAAACAAAGGAGCTATATACTGCTTAGAGTTTTATTTAACCTTTCGAATAATGTCGTTATTGAAATTGGAAATAATACTAGGTATTATAATGAAACCCAATTTTCGATTACTTGATTCCAGATCGGCCTTAGCAACTCAAACAAATTCTCTGCCGTTCAGGGCTATCCTATGATTATTAACTTAGTAAAGCTATACATTATTCTGAATAGTAATTCTATTTGCAAAATAGATATAATCTCAATGGTGACTTTCTATCTATTTCCTAATTATAATTACCGAAACATGCTATCTGAATTGGTGGTTAAATCGTGTACAGTTCTAAGAACATTCCTAAAATTTGTTCAAAAATATTGGCTCTTGAAGTATTCTAATTTTTTTTCTATTCAATTCATCGATTTTTCGCTTGAAGTATACAGAAATGTCTTGATATACAGCAATTCAAATCAAAATTGTGAAATAAAATACTGATCATCATCATTCTTAATTGTTAACTTCAACAATTTTTCGGTAACAAAGTATTAAAAATTGTCGTGTTTTTTTCTGAAAATATTCTGCAACTCTGCAATCTGTAAATACTATCCCTTCATTCTTTTATTTTTTTTTTTTTTTTCAACATTTTTACTTATATATGTTATTAAGAAAACCATGAAATTCTAATTATTAAAACAATAACATTCTATATTCTAATATATGTAAGAAAAATAAACGCTGAAACATATGTTTGTTTTATATTTATTATAAAATCCCTTTTTCACAAATAATATTTAAAGGGAATTATTAATTTTCATTTTTATTTAATTCGGCTCGATGTCAAATACTAATACCAAATTTTATTATTACTATCAAACAAATTGAATGGTAAAAATCTGGTGTTAATGATTAAATAAACAACATTCGTTGGATATAAGCCCTCTATACGTGAATTTGAAGTTTATTACAAACTTTTAGATTCGGAGCTATAAATTTGTTTTACGTGCCTTATAGTCAGTCTGTATATTTTTTTCTCACTGTATTTATAGTTTCATTTTTAGTTTCCTGATGTAATTGAAAAAAAAAACATTTATGTTTAATATTTAACGCCATCTACTTTTGAAACAATATACTAGCCAACTAACGAATACACTAATAGAAAATGCTTCTCAATACAAATTAAAATATATCCGTTGAGTATAATCTCTCTATATGTGAATTCGAAGTTAATAAAATCATACGAAGCTATTAATTATTTTTATAGGGCTAAAAATCAGTATCTATGTATTGTTACCACTGAGTTCAAAGTTTCATTTTTGGGTTTCCCACTGCATTTGTCATTTAACAATACAAATATCAGGAACTTAAAAATATATGTATATGTACTATTTAACGCCATCTAGTTATGAAACAAAATACAGTTGCAATTAGCGAAGACATTAACAGAAAGCCCTTCGTATTGGCCTAGTTCTGAATACAAATGAAGGCGTATTTGTTGAATACCGACCCTCTACATTTGAATTGGAAGTTTATTACAAGTTCTTAGATTCGAAGCTATTAACTCCTCTTAAGGACCTTAGAATCAGAATATATATGTTTTGTTCTTACTGAATTAATATTGAACATTCTAGGAATTTCTTCTACAATTGATGTTTTAACACATATCAGGGACTTAGAAATATTTATCTATAATATTTAATGTCATCTACTTTTGAAACATAAAATAATTTCAATTAGTGAAGACACAAATAGAAAATATTTTATATTAGCCAATTTCTTCGCGGATTTTTGGGCTCGACGGTCATCTATTGCCAAATAGAAAAACTAAACGCCATTATGCATTTGCCCCACTTTAATTTGAATTTGAATTAGCGAATACACAAATAGCAAATGCTTCATATTGGCCAATTTCTACCGAATGAAGGATGCCACCTATGTCTTAGATTGAATTAGTAAAGCCAACACCCGATTTTTATACCCTCAGCCATATGGCTACAGAGGGTATATATCATTTGATTGGCAAATCTGTTTCTGGGCATTTGAAGTCGATGTCCGTCCATCTGGCTGGTGCACACTATAACTCTTGAAGGGAGTATCCGATTTGATCCACACTTGCTGTATCGTAATATTATTATCAAACTTATATCGAGTTCGGCATCTCCCCCACAAAATGTCAACATTTTCAAAAATAAGATTTTCTGCACAAAAAGGGAGAAAAAGAATTCGATTTTGCTCCATCTTTGCAAATCTAAATATTTTCATCAGTGCTAGGGCGTATGAGAAAGTGGACAATATCGGTCCACTTCATCCAGTACCTCCCCAGCAAAGGATCAAAATTTTGAATATTCATGAAGCTCATATAACACGAAATTAACATCCGATTCCATTCAGACTTGACATCTCAATATTTCAATCAGCAAAAGATTTGCTATAAAGATGGTAGAGATCGGAAAAATCCTTCTGGTACCTCCCCCACAAAGGGTCAAAGTTTTGAATAACCAAAACAATTATAAAATTCAAAATAAACCTCCGGTTCTCTGCATATGTCACACATCCCATTATTTCTATTAACACAAAATCTGCTGTGAAGATGGTATATATCGGTCCATTTCTTCTGGTACCACCCTCGCAAAGGGTAAAATTTTGAATATACTTGAATATTTTAAAAAGCGGAATTAACATCCGATTCCATTCAGACATGGTACATCTCAATATTTCCATCAATACGATTTGTGATAAAGATGGTAGAGATCGGTACCTCTCCCACATGGGCTTCAAGATTTTGAAAAAAAAAACGCTCAAAGAAATCGTAATAAGCATCCAACCCTCTTTAAATTTCACACAGACAAACATTTTTGCTAACACAAGATCTGTTGTGAAGATGTTATACACCGGCGAACCCCTTTCAATTACCTCACCCAGAAAGGGTCACAATTTTCAATAATTTAATCTGTCATAACTTGCGAGACCAGTCAGCGATTCTTTACAACTTGCTATATATAAATATATGTTTCTCAACCAGAATCCTGAGATGAATGTGGACTTTATGATTTCACATAAAATTGGATATAAATGTTCGGTTTTCTTGTAATTTTGCCAATAAGGCAATACTTCGGTCGACTATATCTGGTACCTCCGACGCATTTTAACATTTTCTATAAATGATCACATATCTCATACAAAATGAAGGATGTAACCAATATAGTCCAAACCTGGCACGTGTGATATTACATTTATTGAGGTCCGATACGAAATGCACAATATTGGCCAATTCCTTCGGAACCTACTCCATAAATGGTCAACAATTTGAATAATCATAACAGAAGTCGAAATATATTTTTAAATAATCGATCATTGGCTGAGGGTATACATCTGTCGGCATATCCGACTGATACATTTTAACTTGATTTTAAATAAAAATATATTATATTTTGGGTTTAAAGCATTAAAATAATAATGGCCCCAATAATTCTTAAAAAAGATTCTCCCTTATAACTCCAAAAATCTAATATATTTTGAAAGTATTACATGGCCAGCCTGAGCCCTAAGCCTAAGTTTTCCAAGTATACATTTTTTTAAATTTTAGAATTTCATGGAATTCAAGATACATATTCTCAATATTTAAAATCTCATTAATTATTTCTTTAACAAATTCTCCTTCCTCTTTATTACTAACGCTTGTTAACCTCATTTATACATAAAACATCACTTCATAACCCTTTCTCTCACTCTTTTTCCTATGAACTGTCTCTGCTTCTACTAAACTCCATTTCGTTTTATTATTTTTGTTGTATAGTTAGAAGAAAAAGAAAAAAAAAGCACACTTATTTAGCTGTAGCTGTATTTTGTATTTAATGTGTTATAGAACATACCAAAACTAATAAAACATTTATTACTTTTTATTTTTTCATTTTCTTTTTTGTGTATATATCAAAAAAAAAAAAAAAACAAATACAAATACAAAAAAACACAATTTGTTGTTTTTTCCAAAAAATATTTTGTTTATGTATATCATTGTTATAAACCATCATCATCCAAAACCAAATATAATTATTTATTATCGACCAAAAACATCCAAAATTATATGAAACCCCTAAATTGTTTGTATATAATAATGGCTTACAAATACAACAACACGAAAACAACTGAACAAACATCCATTACACAAACAAAAAACAACTACATCGACTTACGAAATTCAGAATTGAATCCTCATCACCATCATCATCAATTCACTCACAAACGGCAACACCGGCCAATATTTTCTTGCAAAATATCAGGCCTACACCACAACAACATCTACAACAACAACAACAGCATCATCAAATACAACAGCAACCGCATGAACAACAACATCATCATTTAATACAAGACCATCAGCAAGTGATTGTTGAGACCATACCATCGACACAAACCCAAAATCATTATCGTCATCATCAACAACAGCAACAACAATTGCCACCGCCATTACCAACCCTGGCTCAGCCCCAGCCATTCAGTTCGAATCGTAATTACTATAATACAACATCGGTGTCCACAAATTATAACAACAACAACAATAATAATCATGAAAATAATAATAATAACAATCATAATGTTGATGTTGTCTCATATATACCACAACAACAACAACAACACCACAACCACCAACAACAACAACAATCCCATCAATATATACCCCAACAACATTCATCTCAACAACAACAACAACAACCGCAACTAATACCACAATCAGATATCCAACAATCTGAACAAAGTCCTTATGATAACTATTATTCTGTTTATGACGATGATATCGATTTGTATAGGGACATAGAATATCAGCAGCAGCAACAACAACAGCAGCAACAACAACACCAGCAACAGCAACAATATCAACAACCCATTCGACAATCGACTTATCGCCCATTGGATGTTTTCACAACACCCGCACCTGCACCGCAATCAGCGCTACGAGAAACTTATAAACCAGCCAAGCAACAACAACAACAGCAGCAACAACAACCGGAAAGACCAACCTATACGAATCAACAGCCCTTGGTCTACAATTCGGATTACGATGAAGATCTGATTGCCCAGGTATGTATGAGAGATTTCGATTTAGATTATAAGATAAGTATAACGAGGAGGATATATTTAAGGCCTTGCAAAATGGACCACATCCAATACTTCAGTCTAAAAAAAATCTTTCAGTGACCTCAATATCAAGTTTCAGGATTTCAGTTAAATTCCTTCACCAACACCAAATTTGGTAACATTTAGTACTCATATCCAAAATAAATTACATGTCTCCATCTCAGACACCAACAGTGATCCAAACTTAATACCATTTAGTACTTTTCGAACAATTATAGTACAAATATGTATCTGATCTTAACACCAGATACCTAGAGAGACCTCAATATCAAAATTTGGGGATTCCAGCCCTATCCTTTCACCCAATACTAAATTTTGTACTATTTAGTACTTTTCGAACAATTATAGGACGCATTTCCAAAACCACCTCCATATCTTATCCACAGGCACTAAGAGTGACATCTATATCAAATTTCAGGATTTCAGCTATAATCTTTCACCCAACACCAAATTTAGTACTTTTGGTAAATCATAGTACATATTTCCAAAACATTGAAGGTGGTTTTAGACCAGTATCAAATTTAAGTATTCCAGCCTCACCCTTTCACCCAATACCAAATTTAGTACCATTTAGTACTTTTTCGTACTGATGTAGTACATATTTCCAAGCCAACGTAAAATCCCATACACAAATACCATCCGCAAACTAAATATCAAATTTCAGAATTTTATCTCTATCTCCTCACCCCATACCAAATTTAGTACCATTTAGTACTTTTCGTACAATTTTAGTAAATTTTTCAAAAATCACCTATCACATATATACACCAGATACCAACAGATAGCTCAATAAAAATTTTGTGTATCCCTTCACCCAATACTAAATTTAGTACCATGTAGTACTTTTCGTACAACTATAGTACAAACTTACAAAACCATCTCCATAACTTAACCACAGACACCAACAGTAATCTAAATATCGAAATTTCAGAATTTTTTCTCTATCCCTTCACCCCATACCAAATATAGTACCATTTAGTACTTTTCGTACAATTATAATGCACATTTCTGAAACCACCTCCATATGTTCGGGACTCGCATGAACAACGACCAACTAATACCAAATTTCAAGTACAATCTGTTTACCCAACTCCACGTTGTACAACATAGAATACTATTTAGTACCTGTCGTATCTTGTGGTACACATTTCCAAAACCATATCTATATCGCAAACCTACCACCAACAGGGGCCCCAACAGCAACATTTATAAGTGCCAGCTTCTTCCGTTCATCCAAAACGAAATTGTACAAAATTTAGTACTATTTAGTACAGTTATTACACTTAGTACACATTTCTACAACCTCCTACTTAAATCAATCCCATTTCCAGGAATTGATTCTTATACAATTTCAATATTTTGCCACTATCCGTTCACATAAATTCAAATGGTACCAAATTTCGTGCATTTTAGTACTTTTTGTACACATATTGTTAACACGTCCAAAAACCCTTTAGTTTTTCTATCCTACATGGATACATCCAACTCTCTCACTCCAGTTTTTTGTTTCCACCTCTATTTTTTCCCTAAATACCAAAGTTAATATATTTGGTACTTTTTTGTTCGTATTTCAAAGTCTCCCGTCATGTATCAATCAAACCACACAAAGGTGATCCTAATGCCAAATTTTAGACTTCCAACTCAATCCCTGACCCATAAACAAAATTTAGTACCATTTAGTACTTTTTAGTAGGTACTAACAAAATATCCCTCAAATCTCAACCTTACACACTAACAGTGATGTTAATGCCGAATTTTAGATTTCAAACTGTATTCGTCCACGCAATACAAATTTAGTACTATTTAGTACATTTAAGTACGTATTACCTCTAAATCTCGACCCAAATTTCAGGTTTCAAGCAGTATTCCTTCACGCAATACAAATTTAGTACCATTTAGTTCATTTTAGTAAGTGTTTTCAGAACAGCCTCTTAATCTCAACGCAACACATTAACAGTAATCCCATTCTCATTTTAAATTTCTAGATCAATCGATCAAATTGTACCGAATTTAGTACCATTTAGTACATTTTCAAAAACACCTGCTTATATGATCTTAACGTAATTTTTGTACCAAATGTCTCTTTGGACCAAAACCGTTTCAGGACATTTGGAGTCGATCTAGGGGTGTCCGTCCGTCTGTCTGACTAGTGCGCACTCTTGAAGGGAGTCTCCGATTTGTTCCGAAATTGGGACATCTTTATATTATTGCCAAACCTAGATCGAGTTCGGAGATGAGCAATATCGGTCCACTCCTTCTGGAACATCCCCCACAAAATGTCAACATTTAAAGGAAAAAAATTACTGAACAGAAAGAGAAAGGATAATCCGATTTTCGTCTAACTTTACAAATCCTAATACTTGCATCAGTGCTAGGTCAGATGCGAAAATATATAATATCGGTCTACTCCATCAAGTACCTCCCCCACAAAGGGTCAACATTTTGAATAATTAAAACTTTTATAAAATGTGATGAAAGAGTCCGATTCTCTTTAAATTTAACTCATCACAATATGTTTCATTATCCCAAGGTCTGGTGTGAAGTTGGAATATATCGGTCCACTCAGTTTGGATGAAAATTTTGAATATCCGTGAAGCTCAAAAATAGCGAAATAAACATCCGATTCCATTCAGACTTTGCACATCTGAATATTTCCATCAACACAAGATCTGTTATAAAGATGGTATAGAGAGGACCATTCCTTCTGGTACCTCCCCCACAAAGGGTAAAAATGTTGAGTAACCAAAACGTGCATAAAATCCGAAATAAGCATCCGGTTCTCTTCAAATTACACACATCGCATTATTTTTACTAAAACAAGATCTGCTGTGAAAATGGAATATATCGGCCCACTCCTTCTGGTGCCTCCCCCACAAAGGGTCAAAATTTTGAATATACAAGAAGCTTATAAAATGCGAAATTAACATCCGAGTCCATTCAGACTTGGTACATTTCAATATTTCCATCAAGACAAGATTTGTTATAAAAGTGATTGAGGTAGGACCATTCCTTCTGGTACCTTCCCCACAAAGGGTCAAAGGTTCTCTTCATATTTCAGACATTCCATTATTTCTGCTAAAACAAGATCTGCTGTGAAGATGGGATACATCGGTTCACTCCTTCTTGTACCTCCCCCACAAAGGGTCAAAGCTCATAAAACACGAAATTAACATCCGATTCCATTCAGACTACATCTCAATATTTTAAGGTTGTTATTATTTTTATTGTTATTATTATTATTATTATTATTATTATTATTATTATTATTATTATTATTATTATTATTATTATTATTATTATTATTATTATTATTATTATTATTATATTATTATTATTATTATTATTATTATTATTATATTATTATTATTATTATTATTATTATTATTATTATTATTATTATTATTATTATTATTATTATTATTATTATTATTATTATTATTATTATTATTATTATTATTATTATTAGTATTATTATTATTATTATTATTATTATTATTATTATTATTATTATTATTATTATTATTATTATTATTATTATTATTATTATTATTATTATTATTATTATTATTATTATTATTATTGTTATTATTATTTTTTTTTTTTTTAATATATTTTTTTAAATACCGAACTAAAATTGAAATATTTTTCCAGATCGAACAAGACAATGCCTACGATCAACCCACACGCCCACCACCATCAAGGTAAGTCCCTTAGGCATTCTCAAAAATAACGCTATTTTCAAAATAATAACAACAAAAACACGCTAATAACACTTGAAAATAAACCAAAAATGTTTAAATCCCAAAATAAAACATTATTTTGTAAAAAAAAAAAAAACAAAAATGAACAGAAAAATCATGCTAACACCAAAAATCAAATAACTAACCCCAACCTCTTCCACCCTTGCGCATTAAAAATGATAATCATTAAAAATGGTTTTTCGAATATAAAAAGAAAAACAAAACCAAAAAATAGGCTTCGCATTACATTCAAATTGTTTTAAAGGCATGTCTGTGTATGTGTCCTCTGTGTCCAGAATATTTAAATGTTGTGACCTTAAGCAAATCCAAAAATCAAAAAACCAAAGCCTAGGCAATGACCATTTGATAAAATCTCCATGAAAAAAAAAACGAAAAAAACAACTCTCACAAATAACTCGAATCATAACTTTTTCTAACACATAACAACCAAGAAACAACAACAACAACAATTTCTTCTAACACAACAAAAAAAACATCAAAATTTTTTTGTAAAATTTTATTCTTTCCACAATTCTTTACTACTTTCCTTTTACCAACCCAAAACAATAAAACGCATTTTGTTACACTCACAACAACAACAACAATTTTGAAACCAAACCAAATTCTTTTGACCGACCATCCATTCTTACAATCGATCATCATCCACCAAAAAAACGAAAAAAGGAATGAACAAGTGGCCATCAAGACCCTCAGTGCCGTTGGTCCATCCTCCACTGTACGCAGCCTTTTAATCAATGATGAACGGAATTATTACAGTACCTTGACCACACCTCTACCACCACGCCAGCCATCCCCCATTAATCTGCCCCTGGCTAATGGTAATCACAATAACAACGAGGAATATGTCTATGAAACGGAATATGTGGATGATCCCGATTACTATTACAATGACAAGGTGGTGCAACGTCCTGAAGTGCCCCCCACTGTGGTGAAAATCAATAATGATGATTATAATCGCGTTATCAATGCCAAATTGCCGCAGGATAATCGTATCTTGAATCCGGTCCGAACAGAAGTAACACAGGCCTCAACGAGGAGTACTGCCCCCAGTACAACTGTTCGCATACCCACGACAAGTACGACTAGCAGCTCAACAACCACCACCACCACACCCAGGACAACAAGCACTACCAGGACGACCACGACCAGCACAACGACAACAACTACCACCACGACCACAACCACACCCAGGCCCCAAACCTCAACGAAATCAAGGTATTACAGCTGTTTTCTAATGGAGAAAGAAATTGCTCTGCCTCTCTCTCCCAAATCTCTCTCGCTCTTAGCTGCATCCATTCACAAAACTTTTGTAGTGGGCTTTCATTGAAATCTAAAAAACCAAAATTGGCTTATAAATGTTCGAAAGGAAACACAACACACACACAAAACTACATTCCTCAACACACCTTTAACCCTGGAAAGAACTATACACACACACCTGACATTCTAGGATCCTCTTTTGAAAATTCATCTCTCTCCCTCTCACAATGCCTGACACTACTTAACTTTCCTTCCTTCTTTTTTGTAGTACCTCATTGGCTTAAATCATTTTTAGTAACACTCAAAATAAATAAAAAAATCAAACAACAACACATACACAGCTGAATGCATAAATCCAAAAACACAAATACACCTCTACAAATAAAAACCAAACAACCACACGCACACATACAAATATGGAGATTTGAAAAGAAAATAACTTTGTCTCTTGCTCGATCGCCAGCTCGCTCATTGTTCTCCTCTGCCACCCACTCCCACTTTTTTATACTAAAACCTAGATCTGGACATTTTTGAATGCTGCATGTTATTATGTGTGTGTGTTAAGATCTAGATGCAAAACAAAACAAAAACTATTGATTGCATGATTGAACATGAAAATTAGATATTTTCCAATAATTTATATAAGAGGAGTTTATTTATAAGGAGCCATAATAAAAATTGTTTTTTTTTTTGTTTTTTTTTTTGAGAGGCAAAATAAAATCACCAAGTTTGTGTCTTAAGTCTTTTGTTTGGTATTGCAATTGCGCCTAGAAGTATGCTATATTTTGTTTAAAAAAAGTCATTGTGGGTTTAAAATTGAGACAAAACGTATAAAGTTGATTTGTAGTGATGGAAGATATATTCTCTAGATAGAAGAGGTCTTCTCTTCTGTAAAATGAAGGGGTATTCAATAGGATCCATATATAAAGGAAATCTGTAATAAATAGACAAGGCATTATATAGAAAGAAGACGTATCATTGTTTCTTATCAATGTATAAATAATATATTGTTGTAAGAGATGTAACAAAAAACAATAGCCCAGTAGTTGGTGCCCGAACATAATCCCCTTTTAAATTATGGGAAATTATGTTCAGCTTTTTTTATGGCCATAACAGTTGAACCAGTTCCGAAGCAATGCAAGAGTTGTTGTATTTTTGTACCGCAACTCCTTGAAAAAAAAAAACCTACAAAGTTAAAAATGGACCCGAGCCTTTCCAAAATGGTGCCATATGTGTTGATATCTCTTTGGACACACCATAGAGGAAAAAACTTCAAGCCCGAAGTCCGACTACTTACAAAACTTATAAAACGCAGCCGGTGTTAGATATACCCCAGAGGAGAAAGTCTCAAAGTCTCAAACCCGGACGAATGCCGTCTACTTACAAGGTACAACGTTTAAAAAAATTCGATAAACCCCAGAGAAGAAAATGTCAAGCCCCAGCCAAAGGTTGGCTACTTACAAAAGTCAATAATCCGCCTCGAGTAAAATATCTAGCCCGTAAGAGGGTATATGTCCAGAGTTATCCGCTACTTTATGAGTATTATAACAATTTTTTGGAAAAGATTCCCATTCCATTACGGATGTTATGACCGAAAAAACAGTCCATACTGTCTCCATAATTGTAATGGGGACTATGTCCGTGTGGATTATGAACGGCGCCGAAATTTCCGTACCAGAGCCAAAGTCTAACTACTTAAAAAAGTAATTGTTACAGAACAATTGTTATAAGGCTAATGTCACCGAACAGGGAAGATATTGACAAATATGGCAGGCAGAAAAGCTATGATATGGCCTACATTGCCCGCAAGTTTTCTCTAAGAAGTCCAAAATGTCTTCTCTACGAAAGCTAGAAAGTTTTCTCTTGTAGATCAGAAAGTCTTATCTAACTTGACCAGGAAGTTTTCTCTAAAAAGAAATTAACATTTTATCTAAGAAGACCTGAAAGCTCTCTCCAGGAAGACCAAAAAGTCTTTCTAAGAAGACTAGAACGTATCTCTAGACTAGAACAAAAGATAATCTTCTCTAGGAAGACCTAAAAATCATCCCGACGAAGACCAGGATGTCTTCCATAAGAAACTCCAGAATGCCTTCCATAAAAAGACCAGAAGTATTCTCACAGAAGTCTTTTCTAGAAGATCAACAATTCCTCCTTTCAAAGACCACAAAGTCTTTCCTAAGAAGGTAAGAAACTCCTCTCTACCAGACCAGAATGTATTTTTTTACAAAATACGAAAAAGGTCTTCTCCAAAATGATGGAAAGGTCTTCTCATAGAAGACGGGAAGGTTTTCTAATAGAAGTCGGAAAGGTCTTCTAAAAGAATACGGGAAGGTCTTCTCATAGAAGACGTGACGATCTTATAAGACGTGAAGGTCTTCTTATAAAAAACGTGAAGGTCTTCTTATAGAAGACGAGAAGTTCTTCTCATAGAAGACGTGAAGGACTTCTCATAGAAGACGTGAAGGTCTTTTCATAGAAGACGTGAAGGTCTTTTCATAGAAGACGTGAAGGTCTTTTCATAAAAGACGTGGAAGTCTTTTCATAGAAGACGTGAAGGTCTTTTCATAGAAGACGTGAAGGACTTCTCATAGAAGACGTGAAGGTCTTCTCATAGAAGACGTGAAGGTCTTTTCATAGAAGACGTGAAAGAGCAAATAGAAAAGCAAAAGGTCTTCCCAAGGAAGAGAAAAGGTTTTCCCAAAGAAGAGCAAAAAGGTCTTCTCTCATAGAAGAGCAAAATGTCTTCTCTCATAGAAGAGTAAAATGTCTTCTCTCATAGAAGAGCAAAAGCTCTTCTCACATAGAAGAGCAAAAGCTCATCTCTCATAGAAGAGAAAAGCTCATATCTCATAGAAGAGCAAAAGCTCATCTCTCATAGAAGAGCAAAAGGTTTATCTGATAGATGGACTGTTGGTCTTCTCTCATAGATGACCAGTTGGTCTTCTCTCATCGAAGACCAATTGGTCTTCTCTCATCGAAGACCAATTGGTCTTCTCTCATCGATGACCAATTGGTCTTCTCTCATCGATGACCAATTGGTTTTCCCTCATCGATGACCAATTGATCTTCTCTCATCGATGACCAATTGGTCTTCTCTCATAGAAAACCCTTTTATAGATGGAATACCAGAAAATATTCCCGTAAAAGATCAGAATGTTATCAAGACTAAAAAAAAATTATTCGACGCATACTTTTAGGCTCAAAATGTCAAAAAAAAAATCTTAAGAACGATGTTAATGCTATTTTGAGATTTTTACTCAAAAATTCTATTTCAATATCCACATAATTTTTATTATGGTTCCAAGTTTGTCTCAACCCCAAAAAGACTCAGCGTGTTTCCTTAATTTTGAAAAAAATATCTATAAAATGCATGAGCATGACAGATATATACTCTATAGCATTTTTATTAGAATTATGCATTCAGTTTTCAGCTACAAAATCAGTCAGTGAGAACCTGTTTAAATAATAAAAATTAAATTAATTTATAATAAACATTTATAAATTATTACAATTTTTTATTTATTTATATTTAATTTAATTTATGTGTAATTCTTTTCTCTTTCTTTATTTAATAAAAATATGAAATATTTCAAATGATCCTCGTCCTCGTCGTCTTATAAATATCCCATCATCACAATCATCACCGTGACCTTTCCCCTTTATTTTTACTTGTCTGTATTTCTCTGTCTGTGTGTCTGTTAACCCTTTCTCTCCCGCTCTCTCTCTTGGTCTCTAATAATGGAAATAATGTACTCAATTTCCTTTCAATTCTGGACATTTGTTTTCTCTTCTAATAATTCTCAATCACTTAGTCCATCACTTCAAAGTCCCTTCAAACAAAGTAATGCCGATCACCGTAGGCCCCATTATCACCATTATGTAGATGATATTGTAGAGCAACAAAACCAACAACAACAACAACAGCAACCACCACCAATTAATATTTATAATAGTCATAGAAATAAGCAAGCCAATTTCCAAACTGATCATGTCAAGGATTCCGATCATGATCAGGAAGAGGAACAAATCATTTTTAATATTGGCAAAATCCATTCAAATAGAAATAATTTAAATAAACATAAACAAAATATTAATCAATATGCACAACAACAACAACAACAACAAGAGTTACAGTTCGTACACCATAAACATGAACCATTATCACTACAACAGCAACAACAACTGTTACCCGAACAAAAAACCGAGACTCTGCTACCACTACCATTTAAGGCTAATAAGACTGAAAGATATTTACCAACTGTATTAACGGATAATGTGGATTTCTCCAACAGATCCAAAATGCTTGCCAATAAAAAATTACAACAACAACAAGAACTCCAAAACCAACAACAACAACAGCCACCACCAAACCATGAACCAGAACAAGACCTACAGCTAGACCAACAAAAGTCACAACAATTAATACAAAAATCACACAACAACAGACATATAGCCAAACATCATCCAAGCACAACAACAACAACATCAACAACAACTACAGGCACCCCAAGAACAACCACAACAACAAAATCCACCACTTTCCTGCCACCCCTTAGATCCTCTACCACAACTCTCGTCCTTTCGACCACCTCTCCCAGAACCTATCAAAATATTCCCTCCCAAGATTCCCACCATTTTTTGGCCCGAGACAGACACCCGGCCACCAGTGGCCAACAAGATGTGGAAACTGTTTATGGTGAAAGTCAAAATGTCCAGGTACAAAGTGCTGAGCCTCCAACCAGCAGCTATGTCAATGGTCCAAGGGGCAATAATTTAGTTAGTTCACAAACCGATAAAGCTACCAACTCGGAGTTTCGAGCCAAAAGCTATGACATTTATGGCGGTAGCGGTGGTCTTAAAAGCAATGAATTTCTGGATGAAAAGCCGGGCAAAGAGGGCGCCACTAGCAGCAATAACAAGAAACACATTAAAAGTTATATCATTTCCGATTTAAC